TTACAAGATGACGTCATCCGATTAACACTAACATAAGCCAATGTATTAACTGTTTATTAAAAAGATTAGCGATTAGATGTAAAGTGTAAGTCAAGTGTAATCGCAAATGATGCAACAAATCTCTCCATAAATTTCTTAAATTAAGTATGTTACAGCTAAAATTTTAAATGTCAAAGAAATTTCTGGTTGTGATAGAAAAAAAAATAAAGCGTGTATTATTTAAATTTGGAATTATTTAATCCTGGCATAAAATAATCAAGCGCTTCGGGAGTCATGTTGCCCGGACTATGAGGGTTCCTAACAAGCGTCCGAGTGTCGGAGTACTAAGCTGAGGTTAGGCATCTCGTATTACCGTTACCGGCGCCTAGTATGTAGAGCACGAGGTGCGCTGATCGTAGCCTATTCAAATGCAAATACACAGCTGGCCGCTCTAATATTTTCTACGCTTACAAACTCACTGAATCTTAACCGTGACTTGAATTACGATTTATTGTTTACGTAATTTTACTATTTGGTAAATTCGGTAAAAGACTTACTTAAAATGTACGATACGATTTGTTTATCTAATAATGTTAGGTATTTATACGGGTGTACTGTCGTAATTTTAATTCACTGGACTGATGAAGAGTAAAATCAGATTTAAACCGAGTTTTCTTACTTTAAGTAATTGATTGTACAGAGCTTTATGTATTACTAGCTGTCGCCCGCGACTCCGTCCGCGCGGGTAAAAATTGATATTGGCCGATTCTCACACCCACTCAATATGCTCACAAAATTTCATGAGAATCGGTCAAGCCGTTTCGGAGGATTATGGGAACGAAAATTGTGACACGAGAATTTTATATATTAGATTGTCCACTAACTACAAATCTTGTTCACGATACTGTAATAGAGATAGACACACTAACCTTAGAGATACTAAAGATACCTTAAAAGTAGTTATGAAGCTACATGAGCAAGAGCCGGCGTCTTGGTTCTAAACTGACAAATAAATCGTATGTCTGTGTGTGGGCGGACGCGATTGTCGACCACTTCAGATAAGCCGTGACCCTCGCCCGAGGGAAATCCTAGGACTTCGTAACTAGAATAATAATTACGTGCGTAAAACCCGCTTTATCCTTCAATCTGTTCGTAGAATCTACAACAGAATGTTTTGTTACGATAATTGGTTAACGTAACCTACTTTATTTCCCAGAAAAGTTTCTAGTTAATTTTTAATACAATTTATTAGTGCGGTAATGATAAACCATTTGATCATAAGATTGCGCAATATTTACCAACCTATTATTTGACATTTATTGAAATGTTTTAGTAATAATTTTTAAATCATATCACCCTTGATCTAGTAATATACACATTAACTAACTATTAAGTAAAAAAATGTGCAATATTTTTTTCTGAGAATATTCTAAAAATACTCATTTTAACATAAATGCGAAATAATGCATTTCAAGGGGTAAAATAGGGCATGAGCGAGAAGTAAATTTATACGTGATGCAATTTAATTTACAAGTAAAACATTTAATCGTAATACAAACAAGGTACTGCGTCATTTAGATTACTTAACAATAACGAAGAGGTTAAAACGACGCGTGTCCTACATCCTTGCGCACTGTAATGAAATACTCTTTACACAGTGCGCAAATGACACAATCGCATACAACGTATTGATGCCATTTTGGTGCAACATACTCACAAGTAAATTTTTTACTGAAGAAACAAAGACTGTATAGGATTGAATTGGTACCTCGTAATTTGCACTCTTGAGCACACACACACTTAGACCGTCGGTGGCTCAGGGGTCACGCACTTGACTTGCAATCTGCAGGTCCTGGGTTCGAATCCCGCCATGTACCAATGTGTTTTTCGATTTACATATGTACATTTATCTGAAGTTTTTACGGTGAAGGAAAACATCGTGATGCAACCTGCACATATCTGAGGAGAAATTCAAAGATATGTGTGAAGTCAAACAACCCGCAATTGGCCAGCGTGGTTGACTATGGCCTAATCACCCTTAACTTAGGGTAGGCTCCGCGCACCTCGGTGAGGACGTATAGTGAGCTGCAGGTGATGAATGAAAATCATGATAATGTTACCAGAGGTAATTATTGAGAAGATAATTTGCCTTCTGTATTAAAACTATTAATCTGTCATTTAATATTACGAATCTATTTTTGGCGATGAAATAATGATAATTGAAATGGACTGGCTATTTATAAACAATAACAGATGAAGAGCTTCGTCACCTGCCATGGTAAGGACAAATTGTTTTCATTCCGGCGAAGTAAGACGATCCACAGTTACGTACCGTGAGACCTAACCACGCCACAAGTCTTCCTATGTAATGGAAACATATAGTATTACTTTGCAAAACAACTTGCAATAGGAAATCTTTCACCGGGTTTTATATCACGAATGTAGAAGCGAATAAGATAAAATTCAACGAGAGTGAATAATGTAGATAATAAACCTTTGTAATTAGAAAAAAAGACAATTGTAAATTAATGCTCAAAGCGAAACTACAAATTAGTAGTTATTTGAATTCTGACATTTGACGTTAAAGTATAAAAGCTTACATATTTATGTTTCATTAGAAGATAAGTAATCTTAAAACATTTCGAAGCATATATTTGACCGTAGTTATACTTTGGTTTAGTCGGTTGAACTCGGTCAATAAACACCACGGCCCATGGAATTAAGATAACAATTTTATTTCTTTCTAACTCGATCAGTGAAATGGGTTTTTCATAGACACGGAAAGAGCTGTGCCTTTACCGCTTTCCTAGTCAATAAACATTGTACGAAGGAGTATTCGAAAGTTATTTTTAAGTATGTTTACCTCATGCCAGTGGAGAAAGCCAGGTTTTGTGGTAAGAGCTAACACGTTCTAGCTTACAATTACATAACAGAATTAAGACATTTGATACAAATAATTATTTATTTATTAGCTCTTAAGAACAAAAGTATAAAGAAAGTTATCAGCAACATATCTCTCTGTTTTCTAGCATGGAAAATTAAACAAACTCATTGACAAACTGAAAAATTAATATTTTATGAAACAACAAATATTTCATGACAATTTTCCGGCATTTTCTGTTAAATAAAGGTAACCAATGATCGATCAACCTCCAAGTCATTCTCAGATATAACAAAAATAATTTTTCCGTACTATCAATAGTATGCAAAACAATCGCACAGGTCAGGGAAGTCAATGAATAGTCAAGTTGAATAACCTAACATTCACTTTCCCATCTCGAGTTTGCCGTCAACGAGTCGAGGAACGCCAATCATTGGCTATGTGCATCGCATGTGAACTTGGCCGCTTGGCTCGACGGGATTGGGTCGCCGAGATATTTCAACCCAGAAGTCGAAAAGTCGGAAATATTATACCATAAGACTTATGGAATTTTTTAAAAGATGTATCTGTTTTAGATGTTGAACAATTAACAAAGTTCAATAAACATATTTGTCTGTTTAAAAACCAGATTGACGTCTGCTTGATATAAATTAAATTGAGACTTGCAATTAAACATCGGTCGAGTTAACGTGCGTGTTCAAGGGGGTATTGTGATACAAGCAACAGATCCCGGCTTTGCACGATAGCTAAGCTCAACCCAATATTTTACAAGATTTTTCATAGTAAAAACAATATGAAAATCTCTTAAGTAATTTTGTCAGTTGAAATAGACCTATATGAGGACTAAGTAAAATATATAACAGAACAAATTACGAATTCAATATTTTAACAAGGACGTAATGTTATTAGCGAATGTGTAAGCTTAGTCACAATTTATGTTGTTGTCGACATAACTCTTAGTTATATAGCTACGTAAACTAAGACTGGACACTTGGGCAGAGTCTTCCGTGTGCAGGGTCAATAATCAAGGGTCACGCTCCGACGCTACGTCTAATAATCAAGGAGTCAGTTACCGTAACATGTGGTGAGAACGACTTTCTATTGAAGGTCATAACATTTATAGTACAACAAAATAGAATTTAAATAATTTGAAATTCGTACTGTAGAAAATCTTACTTATATTATAAATGCGAAAGTTTGAATGTATAGTGGATGTTTGTTAGAAGATATATGCAGTACGGTTCAACAGATTTCGCTAAAATTTGTCATAGATGTAGAACATAGTCTAGGAAAACACATATTCTAACAATTAAGTTTTTTATGCAGCCAATACTTGTATAATGTAATGTACTTGTATATTATGTCTCCACTTATGATTTGTTTTATAATCGATCGATTGTGTTAATAAAATAAGTAAATACCCACAATCAAAGTATGTTATGAATTTATAACAAGCGTTTGTAAGTAAAAAATCTAAACACATGTTACAAGTAAATTGTATGTTATTATAATTAGAAGTATAACACTAGCATTTTATAGATAGTCATAACAATAATATGTAGTTTCGCTACCAAACGATTCTCTCCAATGTGGCCATTATACAATAAAGCTGTTTGATTTGTTAATAGAGCCGAGTGGATCCTGCCACCACATTCATCTAACGACGCACTTCCTTCACCATCAATTCTATTACGTTACATAAAGCATCCTCATCTACAAGCTCATGAGAAATATTCTGCAGAAGAATTCATTGGATCTTCTTTTTACATTTTGTCACAAAATAAGGTAGAAGTAAAAAAGTGTGATTCTAATCCAAGATTAAATTAATGTCCGGTCAGTATCAGAATTCGCCAACGAAACTCTAGACTCTAGTGATGTTTACGAGAAGTGTCACGTTCGCTGTACAAGCGATACTAAGTTGCAATCAACAACTGAGCAAATAACCATGACATAAGACACCTTTCATCTAGTTTCAGTCGCTTTTAATACGTCAATAATCATATAACATGATTAAAATGTATCGTGAGATGTATTTACATATCTAATTGTAGTTCGAATGGTTCAAACAGACGTGTATGCGGCGATAACAGGCCACATGATCGCAATAAACCTAATAGAAAATCAAGGTAAACAAATGCACCTGCACTCGTAGAATTTTCAGTGTTTCACTGTTATATTGGAAAGTTCATCCGACTGGTAATCGACTGCAACTTTAGCACGGGTTCGTATTTTATTTATTTTTAATTTGTTGAACTTTGTTTATGATCGCGGATTCGCGTACTCGCGATACCGGCTTAGGAGTGCGAACGATACGGGCACTTCGACTGACACTCGGCGACTGACTGGCGTTCGGCGCGTTCGCCGGACCAGTTATTATGCTGTGTTGCTGACGATAACTTGGGCAACACGTGGGCCCCGGTATGTGCTATGTGCGATATCACACGACGCGGCGCAGGATACGCAGCTTATCGGTGCATCGACGGTAAAAGCTCGTGATTCATCAAAATTAGGTTTCGCGAGTGACATCATCCATGCGTTATGCGCGCAATGTAAACACGAGACGCCATCACCGCGAGCTCTCACAATAACCAATTTAAATTTCATTCTCAAGAATTAATAACCGTAACAATGATATGATCACATCGCTACTTAATTCAAGGTTAAATTGGATAGTCGTTCAGGTCATGTAAAAGAAGGAAGAGAAGGAGATGCAAAATGTTTATTTTAAGATAATTTAATATTGCATCAATTGTGCGTGGATAATGAGAACATGATGCGATATTATTTATTTTGACTTTTACATTATCAGGGGCAGACGGACTGATGTTTGTCATCCCGCATATATTTAGCTTAAATGAACACATCATTTTGTTTTTGCTCCTTTTTAAATTTTGTATATCTTAATTTGGCAATCGTTTTTTTTTTTGAGTGAACTAAACGGCATCTCATGTTGATAACACGGATTCGTGAGTGTAGGATTCTTTTTTTAATTTAACGAATTAGAATTTAGATCGTAAGATATAGATTTGAGTAGATATTATTTGTAGTTTCTGGGCTGCAAATTATTGCATGCAAATTCAAACAACGTTCATAAAATAAACCATCACGCTAGTTTCCCAGAAGAATAGCAGAGATGAAGAATTTCCAAATATCTACCAGATTGGTGACAAACTAACTGCATTTAATTTCAATGATTCATTATTAGACAAGACGAGACTATAATTTGATGTGTTTCTCCGAATTTTCTCATTTGCTTTGACGTTCAATGTAACATAACTTGTCAAAATGTTTACATGTGCCTGGGAATTTTATGGAAACCTACAAAGTCATTCAGGCGGACAAATAAGGTGTTAGTGTCGCTGTGGTTTAGTTAAGCCGATACGGAGTTACCGCGAAAGATGTTGCATAAGGTTTCCCCAACTTACACAATGATAATTTAAACGTTTAAATTCACAAAACTTTTGGTACTCCGAGTTACTTAAGTTTTTTGCGAATGGCTTACACGATTGATAATAATTTATTCATTTTTTCAAAATTAAATTAATGGCAAGTAGTAGACAGTTTTTGATACACATGTTCATCATCATATTCATATTTTATGTTTTTTTTAAATAATTTTAATCTCTAATCTATTGAATTAATTTGAAATACGTTTATCGAGTTCAAACTATAAAAATTATTTTATTATTGGTACAATTATCTATATAACACAATTAAACAGTAGTATTGAGAATTAATACCACTCAAATAATCCACTATAAATGTTTATATTAACGAAGCGAAACTTATACCTAAACTATACGTAAATATTCAATATGAATTTCTGTCTGTATATACGATGTTTTGCTTAACAAATATTCAAAACTAGACAGCATTTATCTATTACTTGCCGCTGCATCTCGTCAGCTACAACATTAAGCCGTTGATGTATTGCGCAGGTGCAGCGCATTCGACATCTCTGTTCATGCCATATATAGAACTACATACTTATAGTGTAATTAATCGTAGCCCAATTTGTTTGGTGATTGATGCACGCGCCTGCTCAAGTAGTAACGAATAACTTATACGAAACTACGTACATGCTAAAGCAAAATATAGTTACTTTGAAAATTGCAAATATGTATAAAATTTGCATCCATCATCATATTTAGGTACTTAAGTATAGGATAGCACAGTAGACAGCACAGCACTGCTATTGTAACGTACATTTACCGTCAAAACATTATTGTATTGTCTAGAGCGTGTTTAAACGATGAAGTACTATTCTGCTTTACTATTCTACCCTCGTGTGAAACAAACATTACTGGGAAAATTCCGTGTTGATCTATAAATTGTAATGAGTTAAGAACGCGCACAGATGCACAAACGGTTTGTTTTTAATTAATTTTGCCGGTGTGTGCGCGGCACCCACGCTCTGTTTGTGAATACCTCTAAGTGTTATCTAAGTGGGGCGACCCCACTTGTTGCAATGTTTTCTTTTTGCTAGTGCATACACGTAAAGATGATCACCATTCCAACATTCCAGCACTATAGACTAATCAATGTTCTGTTGGAATTTTACATTTTTTACATAATTTTAATCAACTATATACAATATATTTTCCATCTAATTTTTCCGATTAAAGTTTCCTAAAAAGTTTTAGGGGTGATTAGGTCATAGTCAACAACGCTGGCCAAGTGCGGGTTGATTGACTTCACACATATCTTTGTATTTCTTCTCAGATATGTGCAGGTTGTACCACGATGTTTTCCTTCAACGTAAGATCATCGGATAAATGTACATATGTAAATCGAAATCGGTAAAAACATTGGTACATGGTGGGATTCGAACCCAAGATCTGCAGATTACCTGTCAAGTGCTTAACCCCTGAGCCAACGACGCCCGAAAAAAACTATAGGCCTAAAATAGACACGAAAGAGTTCATCAATCTAAAAACCACTAAACAGCTCATTTAACATAAAAGAGTATTATCAAAAATGTACTTATCATACTTACAAAAATAATTGAACAGCAAATACCACACTACTGTACGAATATAAATACGAACAATTTAACAAACGGGTGTATGAACTCGGAACATTGGCGCCATTTCTGATATCTCATTACTAGTAATCGAACACCGATAGAAAATGCAAACAGCACTGAGGTGTTAATTACACGATACATCATCAAACCTTGAGTAAGGTCAATAGCACTCTCTGACCACAAACCGATTCTAAAACGAGCCCACAAGATTAGATAATAAACGAAACAACTAATCATATCAATAAGCATGTAAGTTATGTATTTATTTATATGCAGTGTAGATAACATCAAAGGCGGTCATTATGTTGATAAATGACGATTGTCTTGTCTATGTAGACAATATATGCTCCGGTCCACTCGTGCAATATTATTTCTCGCTTATTATAATCATTAACAGCCATTGTCGGCGGATAGACGAGATATTTGAATTGAATGCCTCCGTCGCCGACGCCGCCACAAAGTTATCTCGTCGATCGATCGACAGATAGCGTTACTAGATATCGGCAAAATTATTGCGCTGACCTATTCGACGGCTAAAAATGTCATATATTTTATTTCAATAAAATATATGATGAAATGAGAACAATGGCGATTAAATGACAGTTATAATCGGAATAAAAACTGTTTACAGTATCACACATCCATATAATAAAAGAAAAAGAATTAAAAATAAATATCATTACTGGCAGTATTAAAAATACATACAAATAGTTTACGAAGACATTACAATGGTAAAAACAAAAAAAAAATAACTTATTTAACAGCCAGTAAACCTATTCATACTACTTAGAGCTATTATCTGTTTGCGTTATAAAAAAGACTATCAAAAATAAGGATTTAGTGCATTTTAATGATGTGACTCTACTAGTCATTTGGAACAATTCCTGAAGTCAATTACTCATTAATACTAAGTACTGTGGTTACGTTTAGAGAAAAATGGATGATGGACTGAGTAGCAATGTTAAATCACTACAGAATGCTTGTGACAGACGCACCATAAATAGTAATACACACAGCCACGACTTATTGTTCGTCTTACGTCATAGTTGTCAGTACCTCATGGAACCCTTGGTCATCGGCCGCCCACTATGACGCCCCCACTGTGTCAACCATAATACGGATGTCAATTTTGATTGACACAATATTAATTGCACAGCGTGTGATAACTTCGACACTTAATCGTGAGTTTTCATTACCAAAACATTTGTTATGTTAAAAACATATTGTAACTGATTAGGCGAGATACTGTCTGGTCTTGGCGGGCAACCTCCATAAGCAAGAAACTCGGGTTAGAGAGAAAACTCTGAAAGCTAGAAAAATGTCGCGATCCTTTGGACTGTCGCTTATCCACGCTTGTCCATAAAAATGTTTTTGTACGAGTGTTCACATGTCCACTTCTACTGTTTTATCTATAATATTATAATTAAATTTATAAATTAATTAATTTTGTACTTATTAATCCGATAAAAGATATTAAAAAAGTTACAAAACTTGTACTTGTCACGTTTTTATCGCTATTAGAGATTATTATATCAATGACTATCTATTTATTCAATAGATATGATTAATTATATTATTATTGGCTTTATAAAACTCACAATTTCTCTTAATAAATATTAACCACTGAACGGATTTTGATGAAATTTGGCAACACGATGAACACGTTATGTTTTGTGCAATTCCGAGGACGGAGACACGGGCGACTATTAGTGACCTATAAATGTAAATGTTTTGAATGGATGGAGAATATCACAAGATTATAATAATTACAAATAATTTACGCTTATACGTACTTCGATAGGCTTTGGTAAACACAGTGTAATATTTCGCACGAGAGTTTGAAATTTGAGTGAAATAAAGAAGGCGGCGTTAATTGAAGACTTGTTTACACATTCCATCATTGTAAACAATAGTAAGTACGAATGTACGCAACGTACTACTGCATAGAATAACTACGTGTAAGCATGTTCTGAGTGTACAGTTTCGCTTACCTTGTTCTTACTGTTTGGACTTTGGCATTTGTCAATACCTTTAACATAGAAATATTTTAATTATAATAAATGTATTTTAACATCTTATGTTATGATTTTATCTATGCATTCCAAAGTTTTAGGCATTTAGCGAACAGATTAGAAAAAAGTTAAAGAAAAAGAGTCGTAGTTGAGCTATAAATTACTATAAATCAAACTTGCAATCTGTCGCAACTATGTCCTAATTTTAAAAATATGTGCATACTGGCTGTCGTCAACAACTCCATCCGCGCGAAATTAAAAAAAAAAAAATATTATACTATGTGTTCTTCCAGGCTATATTCTACATCTATGCCAAATTTCAGCGTGATCCATGTAGTCGTTCTGGAGTTATGTACCTTCTATTATTATATATTAGTAAGACAATTATCCTAAATCTAACACAGTGTTTTATCAGTTCCCTGCTAAAAGTAGGCCTTCCCGGTATATCTATGACGCGGTTATGTGCAATCTATTTACGTTGATGTTTACGTCACAGCTCACAATGTTACACAACATCTGTGCAATATGTGTATATGAGGGATATTGGTGACGTGCGTGAAAAGAAAGAGCTAGAAAATGCCTACTTTTAATAAGACTTCTTCCATCGTAGGAGTACTTTTTGAGGCAGAATCGTATAATAAAATTTGTTCTATTATTTAGCCATGATGGATTTGAATGGAACAATTTTCTCAATCGTTGCGGATCTCTGGATTGGATGGATTTTGGGCGATCCTCTGCTTGTTTGTCTCTGATCTCTGCTGTTTGATCCTCTGCTTGTATGGGTGACGCTGTTATCGCGGTTTGTACCATCAGAAAATTCATTTTGTAAATAATAGGACGGTAACTATAGTTGCATTCACCTATCGGACCAGATAAATTTGATGTACTATACACGAAGAAAAATAATTTCATTATGATATAAATCAACATCCGATTAAAGAATGGAAAAGGAAAAATACTTTACATATTACAGGAAGTTATTTGTTTCTTGTTTGAAAATTTTACATTCTAAGAATTCTTTATCAAATAATCTTAATAAAAATATTTTCCTTGAATCTTAAGTACGTTAATTTGTTAATGAAATATGTGTACAGTTTGATAAATAATTACGCAAATTTTGTTACATAAGATTACAATTGTTTACTATCTTATCTATTACTTTACTTCTGTTGCTAAAGTAGGTAAAGAACATCACTTCGTCGATAAATCGAGTAACATAGATAATGTATGAAGTTAAGTCTCAAAGTATCTAGTAATTTTTCTAGTAATTTAACAGTGGTAGAGCCCGCTTAAACGTCTTCGCACGAATTTGCTCCGCTCGCCCGGTGAAATACCACGACCACACAGAAGACAGGCGTGAAGTGGAAGCAATTCCGCGTGTCGTCTGATGAGTGTGCGTCCCGGAGGCCTAATTTAGTCCTCTTTCTCTTCCCACCGTTTTTCTTATAAGGAAACGATGGGAAGTGGAAGTGGACTTTCCGGATGAGAGGATGCATGGAAAGGGAAGATATTTTCTTTCTGTGCATCCTCTCCTCCGTCGATGCATAGGCAGGCAACGCATATGCAATTGCGTATGTCTATGGGCAACGGTCACTTCGCTATTTCAGCGATTTCAGGTGGCCGCTCGCTCGTTTGCCACCTTCTGATATAAAAAAATAGTTTTATAAAAATCCCTAGTTGTAATGTTTCTTTGTGAATAAATAACTACTTTTTATTTTAATCGTATTCATGAAACTTATTTAATTTAAAGCATCGTGTGTAAACAGATTCCGTCAACACTCTGTTTAATCAAATTAAACACGCTTCACTTTCAAAGCTTTGCCATTTTATAAAACATTTTTATAAATTTAAATATTTTACTGAGTTTTTAATTTGCATCTCTTTGATCTAGACATTGCTAAACTGAAACAAAGCTTTTCAAATTGTTAGAATGCGACATAGGTCTTTGCGTTTAACCTTACATAATTGTTTACGGGTTTTGTTTATATAACAATTGCCATGGGTTTACACTGATGGAGGATATGTATGTAAAACATATCTCTATTGTCCCTGAAAAGTAAGTATATGAACTGAACGTGGCTTTTAAAGGCGGCGTTAATGAAAAACGTATAAAGTGTAGTTTTTGTTTATTACAAACTAAATACTAATAATTAAATTTTAATTATTGGAGGTACACACGATTCTCAATGTTAATGTTTTTATAGTAATTACGTCTTTCTTAACAATGAAGTAATCTAAAATCCTTTGAGTTTTTAGACGTGTTATGATGCAATCACCAGTATTAGATTATGACCGAATTCAATGCTGTGTTACTAGAAATTAATTCGTATATTACATTGCCAAACATTATACATGTGTTACCAAATAGACAACATTCTAATACTAAGTAAAAATCACGACTGTACTTACATTTAGTTAGCGAATAGATCTACATATATCTATCGGGAACCTTGAGAGTGAAATAACGGACGTGACAACAAATTATTATTTATTTCTACTTACGCTGTGTCTGCTGTGTGCTGTGTGTGTAAATTTACTTTGGGTTCTCAAACTGGCAAATTTGTAAGAACTCTGCATATTGTCCAGAGTTGGGTAGTTTACAAATTTAGACCGTTAATTCACTCACCCTGTAGAACGACCCCTGAAGGGTCTGGTACTAGTTTATGCCTACACCTTACATTTGTGATAAGCCATTTCTTTAGTGTAATATGTCTAACGTAAGTTTTAATTGACAATAGTGTTTACTTAAAAATTTTAAGTTAACATCCTGTATATTTATTTTTAGTTTTAATTGGCAATTAAATGATTATAAATGTAATTTCTTCAATATTTACATAATAATAAATGTAGTTTCTTTAATATTTATTTCCTTTTATTGCTAATCAGAGACACTGGCACATATTTTACAGGAATGTCAGATATAAATGCACTCACGTAATCTGTTCACTTTGCATAATCATTATCTTCGCACATATTTTTGCAATCTTTATTAATGTTTATCTAAAATTTATATCAAAAGGAATTTATTAATGCTAAATAATCCGCAATTCGTAAACAAATGTAATGCTTAAAAGTGTTGCTCGATAAAGAAAGTTATACTTCCAATGAATACCCAGATTTCTAACTAATCATATTCAGAGTGGTTAAGTAGTCACTAAAGGATTGCCTTAGTGTAAATTTAGTTAAGAAATCGATACTAAAGTCTGCGTAAATAACGACTAAATTGCTTTGAGTGTACTAGATAGGAAAATATCAATAACTTAATGTTTAAGTCACCCATGATTAAGGTAAGGCTCCAAACCCCTCAGTGGGGACGTATAGTGAGCTGATGATGTTATGGTAAAGGGTACGGACATCCGATCATGCATTTGAATATTGTAAACCATATCTTAGCACCGGCCTAGTGCTTAGTTGGATGGTACAAGAAATATTAATTAATTTAAAAGTTCTACTGAAGTTAAAAAAAATGTCAACGGTGAAGGCAAGTTCTAAGAGATTTAGCATTTGCTTTTTCTCTTGCCATTAAACGGAGGATAACTGTATGGTTATAGTTTGTTTATTTTTAATCAATAATCATGAATAAATAAGGTAAACAAATGTATTAATATTCATAACTTGCCAGTAATTAAGATTTATATCGACTGCATACAAACTAAGTAAAACGAAGTCGAACACGCACCGTATGATTATTGAATATCAAAACCGGTGATTATAATAATCGTTCATGGGCAATATCCCTTCGTGAATAGATTTAATACTTCTATATTATTTACATTCATAATAATTATCATCCTTTCTCGTTTGAATTCTAATAACAATACGAAACTGACAATTAAATTGTTTTTTTTTTAATGTTCAGTTGAAAATGTTAAATCTGACACGTTGTTATTGATACGTATTAAGTTATTAAAATACTTTAGAAGTATATTAAATTATATATCATTACAATGATCAAATAAAAACTCAAGGTCTGTTGTATATACCTATAGATATGTTAGGAAAATCGATTAAAAAGTCGAAGTAAGAAGGAGCGTCGGTGGCTCAGGAGTCAAGCACTTGACTTGCAATCTGCAGGTCTTGGGTTCGAATCATGCCATGTACTAATGTGTTTTTCAATTTCCGATTTACATATGTACATTTATCCGACGTTCTTACGGTGAAGGAAAACATCGTAATGCAACCTGCACATGTCTAAGAAGAAATTCAAAGATATGTGTGAAGTCAACCAACCCGCATTTGGCCAGCGTGGTTGACTATGGCCTAATCACCCTTAACAGGGTAGGCTCCGAGCCTCTCGGTGGGGATGTGTAGTGAGCTAATGATGAATGAATGATGATGATATTAGGAAAATGTCTTTCGTGATTTCAACCATTAAATTGAAAGTTTTTAATGTCAAATTTTAATTCATGAAATTATAGAAAAACCTTTTGTATTTGGTTTTGTGTTTGGCGTTGTAGGAACAACCTTCACATTATAAGCAATAAATTATCAAACATTTTATACTTTGGAAACCGATGATAGTCATGTTAAACTATTTGACATAATAACGAACTGTGACTCACTCATTTTGGTATTTGCTTATAACCTTTGTGAAGATTATTTGATATTATCTTGATGAATGTAATAAACCTGTCATATTGTTTAACTTTATTAATTTATCCAGTTAAAATTTTATCTATACAATTTAGATATTACTTCCGATAGTTCTTAAACGAGGTTTAGGCTAAGTGCCATCTGCGCTCGGCCATCTCAAGCCCGGTGAAACTGTGAATGCCTCCTCAAGGCAAACAGTGGCAATACAATCACAAAAAAAAACAATTCCGATAGTAACACATCCAAAATATTTAGTTCGGGAAACAAATCTATAAGAGCTTTTCGTGATATGGGTCGGAATATTTGCTATTAACATGAGTAGTATCTGAAAATTGTACGTTTAGTTTATTCAATAAAATATCAATCTTATCTTATCATAGATCGCAAAAATACATACAATATAATTTATCCTCAGTTTAAACAACTAAGGGCTCAACTGAGATTAAATTGAAAATTATATTTTTTAATAAACAGATGGTGTGATACACGTCGAAAGGTTTTGATTCAAGTGTCATTGATTGTTGAAGGTGACGGCGCCCAAGTTCCCGGTGGTGATCAAAATCGGGCACGCGCACAGCGGCGTGGCCAAGGTGAAAGTGGACTCTTTGGCCGACTTCCAGGTAAACGCTGCCCTTTGACTTTTAAAAGACAGGATATGTCAAACGTACTCATTCTCCTGCATCAAATAAAAATGAACAATAAGTGCTCGTATAATAAGTGTAGCTAGCTTGTTTTTGTGCTCGTTTTGTGCAAGGATGTAAATTTTTGCAGGAGAATGCGTTGATAAAGAAGTTTATGTTTTACGCAATTATGACGTCGGATTGTCATCTGTCTAGTCATTTTCTCTATAGTCAAAGACCCTGCCCAATGCAGACTGCTGCAATGCTATAAACTGTATAATTTTAGCCTTTAGCAGATTACACATTGATTTAAATGCTAATGGAGTTGTGTACCATCAAGGTTTCATTGTAAAATCAAAAAAGATGTCGTCTTGTATTTAATTTACTTTTCAATTATGTATAACTTCAGATTTGGATAAAGTGACGAACAGTTTTAATTAAATTGCTGACGGTTTTTTTGCCACACCACGCAAATAGGCCTACACAAATTTTTGCTTCGTCACTGTTTAAAATATCACTACAATGACATCGCAAAAATAAACATAAAAATGTTGCATAAACATGTAAATAATGTCTCTCATAAAATTGTTAATAGTTAGGACAATATTCTAGATTTTTTACAAATTGTATTTATTTATACAGTAGCATTACAAATCATGTAAATTGTTAAAGATAATTAACGTAATAAACAATCGCAGACAACGGCACTGGCCTTCACGCTAGGGGTAACGAGAGGGTGACATCATGTCGCCCAACAAAAATAAAAAAAAATACATTTAAATAATTACATAGTAATTCGTCGACTGAGTATCATTATTAATTTATTTTATTCAAATTTAAATAAATTGTTTATTCGTAAAGCTATAAACACAGTTAATTACAGCATAAACGTAATAATAACTTGTAAAGTCACAAAATAATCAAAAGCCGAGCAAGGCGGAATAAAATTAATACCCAATACATAATGTTTTAATGAATTTACATAATTTATTACGTCGTATTTCAAAGATAACATTATTCTGTTAATTAAAATGTACAACATAATATGCTGTTAATTTTTACTTGGGTATGTAAATAAAAACTTTAACAGTGGTAGAGCCGCTTTAACATCTTCGCACGAATTGGCCTGGCTCGCCGGGTGAAATACCACGACCACACAGAAGACAGGCGTGAAGTGGAAGCAATTCCGCGTTTCGTATGATGAGTGTGCGTCCCGGAGGCCTCTTTCCCTTCCCACCCTTTTTCTTATAAGGAAAGGATGGGAAGTCGAAGGGGACATTCCGTATGAGAGGATGCATGGAAAGGGAAGATATTTTCGTCTGTGCATCCTCTCCTCCGTCGATTAAAGGTGGGCAACGCATACGCAATTGCGTATTTCAGGTCAGGATTTCAGGTGGCCGCTCGCTCGTTATGACAAAAAAAAGGTCTTTATCTTTCAAGAAAAGTCTAAATGTAATTTCATTTGTTTGTTTGTAGGACATCGCGGGCGTAGTGGCAATGCTGGGCACCTACTGCACTGTGGAGCCGTACATCGACGCCAAATACGACATACATATACAAAAAATTGGCACAAACTACAAAGCTTTCATGTAAGAAATATACCTACATAACTTACTGACTTACGCCCGCGACTCCATCCGCGCAGTATTAAAAAAACTTAATTAGTACTCTATGCGTTCTTTCAGGCTATATTCTACATCTATGCTAAATTTCAATGAGATCCATGCCGCAGTTCTGCAGATACCTTCAAACAGACATGCATCTTAACTTTCGGATTTATAAAATTAATAAAATATTGTAATTCGATCAGCAATCTGGTACCTATATATAGAACATTCCATGAAATTTCCAGAATCATTCCAAATGAATGAACGGTTCGTAAATGCATCAGTATTGCACAAGTAAAATTAGCTTTCGATACTGGGAAAACGCCAAAATGTCGAATGTAAATTGTGGAAGTTTGCAGTTGATATCCGGAGCCAATGTTGTTTGCGCGACGCCTACAGTTTTGCGTTTGGATCGAAACGAACTAATTCAAGCAAACGATTACCATAAATCGTCAGGCGTTGAGTAATCGCCGTCCACTTGTAATAATGTTGATACTTTTGAATTACGGTCTCAGTTTAGAATCACTTCATTGAGTAAAATTAAATTGTTTACTGTAAATGCAACACCACTTTATTACCATATCGATAATTTTCCGGATTTATCATATAGCTATTTCATTCAAACTCTACAAATTGCAATAAATACAGGTTATAAATTTGAAATTCCAGTTATATCAATTTGTTCTTTTGTCTTCTAACTATGAACAAAGCATAATTATACCTTCCACTGTGGGCTTTCATTGGCATTTTATTAAAGAAGCAAGAATATGTTTCAATACATCTAGTACAACTGTGGAATCCCACGCTTAGATACAACTATCTAAACGGGAGTATAGTTCGATACTAATCTATCGATTTTAATCTAAATCGATAAGATATTTTATGTAATCTATCGTAATTAATCTTTAGTTATTATTTATTAACCTTAAAAATTTCAGGCGCAAATCTATATCCGGCAATTGGAAAACTAATCAGGGTTCAGCCATGCTGGAAGCCATTGGAATGAACGACAGATATAAAATGTGGATAGACGAGGTATGTGTCACATTTTCTTTCCGAGAAAACAACAATAAAATCACTTCGTTAAGCTTGTTCAATATACATGAGTAAAGAAACAAAGATATGATAGGAAATTTTCCTCAAACAATACAGAGATTAAAATTTCAAATGAAGTAACAACAACAAAGATAAATCTTTCTGCATAAATTCAATGAAGATAAAAAAGTTGTAAACATTATGACCTACAGGTATTCTTAACTATGAATATTTTATATTTTATAATAACTACTGAAAACTAAACTCAAATTTTTACTAATTTAATTAAAACAAAACAAAAATAATTACAATAAAAGTAATTAAAAAAATACGTAGTTTTAGATATTATTAGTCCGAATTCTTTGGCGCGAATGGCGAATGTCAGAATAAATAGTGAGGGGACATAAATGTCGACATTTTTGTAAGGCTAGTGTTGCACCAGTTCGCCAGTGCTTCTTCCTAACAGTAGGTAGTTAAAAAACCTTTCCTTTATGTAGTTTGTTAACATAAAATATTTTTTTAAGGTGAGCGAGATATTTGGTGGACTAGAAGTGTGCGCGCTGGAGCTGGTGGTGGGCAAGGATGGGCGCGAACACATCATTGAGCTGAACGACTCCGCCACCTCGTTCATGGGCGACACGCAGGAGGAAGACCGGCGCCATCTAGCGGAACTTGTGTTGCAACGCATGCAGGTACAACTGTTTACTAGTCAGACTTACCGTGGGTTTCTGAGACCAAAAATCCCATTTTAAACATATTGTTAGTTCCGTTTAGTCAAAGATAATGACGGGATAAAGATATATTTTATACAGAGATTTTGGTCTCATAAATGAACGGTTCATATGACAAGAATATTTACCACGCGCGACTACTGTGTAGTCGTTGCGGGCGCGTCCCGAAACTAGTCAAATTAGTGGTAAAGGGTCTTAACATTTGTAATATTCATATTGTATTCACTTTACTCTCATTAATACCATCAATTCCAATCATCACGAAGGAAATCTATATTTGCTTAAAATCAACAAAAATATTTGTAGCATTTCAGTAAGTGTCGTTAATTTTGTTTGAGGACATTTTCTTTGAACTGACGATGTTATGAATCAATATGGAAAATACTTGTGCATTCAGAGAAAATAAATATAAACTGTATTAATAACAAAGTCACCTTGAAGATTTTTAGCAACGTTTGTAAAGATTTATAGCATAAAAATATGTAGACGAGCAAACAAAATGACTAAGGATAGATTTCATCAATTTCCTTTCCCTGGTCATAAACCTTCAGTCAAATTATTCACATGAAGCGGTTGCCGTCATCACGAAACACTTCGGTCACACTTGAGTCATACCGTTCAATAGGTGCTACGCTGGGTTGGGATATGTGTGTATGTCTAGGTGCATGACTCCATCGCTTACACAGCTGAATCATCGCATCATGACGGCGAATGCACACTGTATTAAGATCAAAAACATTTTTGTTTATAAATTTGTTTTTGCAATGGTTAAGCGGATTGTAAAATAAATATTAAAACAACGTAGAAAGACTTGGTTCAATTTATCAAAGTTAAAAATAATTTATAATTATATCATGGGCATTTATTCAATATCCTTTACACTCGTAGCTTAGTTGTTTAGTAGACAGGTAGTCGAAAGATCTTGGGATTCAGTTCCCAAACAATGTAAAATAACAATTACTACAACTCTCCTTCAGACTTATATTCTGTGGGTTATTTACCAATTGAATCAACTCATTATATTTCAAGAGCTTTTTACTAACACCATGATGGTTAAACCTACTAAAACTAAGCTTTCGTTTAAACGAATAATCATTATCAGCTCATAAACTTTCTCATCGAGGTGCTTGATGCCTATCCTATGTTAGAGGTGAGCTAGACTACGGATACTTTTTAATTAAGCAATACGTGTATATTTCCAGGCGGTGTGTCGTCCGGGTATAACGAAGACAGCGTCTCGTAGTTCTGTGTCGGGCAGCGGTGCGGCGTCGCCGGAGGAGCGTGGTCCTGGTGCTGTGCCCGGCGGGCCGCCCAGCGCACCGCCGCCTGCGCCGCTTGCCAGCGGGGCCAGCATCGATCGCCCGCTGCCGCCCATTCCTGCGGAGCCTGCGCAGCCGCCGCCGCCTCCCCTCGCAAGACGCGACTCACAAGGTACCTGCTCTTCGTTCCATCCCGAATTCAATTAATTGACTCAGCAAACGAAAATCCTGAATTATATTAAAAGTTGTAAATTATATATACTAAACGATAACTTTTTGATAATAAATTAATAAATTTATATGCTTATTTGCCCAATTTATAATACTAACTTGGTGCTACATTTTCGCTCCTGGGTAATAGGATTGGACATTTTCAATTTAAATTTTAATACACTTATAAAATATACAATGACGAGGAGACCACAATGATATCTTTCGACTACAATTTAAATTTACGTGTTGTGTATATCACACTAGCAGCATGCACATGTGCTCTGCGATTTCCTATTAGTCATGACGAAAGATGTTCTTCAATGCAATGTAAAATACGTTTGTAACTCACGAGCATCAATTTGAATTTTCAAGTGCAGTAAATAAGATTACGACGTGACGTATAAATTGTTAAATGAATGAATGTACTTTTAAAAATACCAAGCCGTTATATAGCAGTAATGGAGAGGCAAAAACGTAATCGGATCCTCTGCCTACATTACGAGTACAGGTGGTCTTTAATTTGCTATTTGTTTTGTTAGCATCTCAATCATCTACGGTATCATCAGCATCGGCAGCTCCAAGTACAGCCAGCGGCAGCGCACAGGGCGCAGCTCCCCCAGCTTCGGGCTCTGCCGGCGGTCGCGGAGGCTTCGCACGCCAAGGCTCCCTCAGCGCAGCGCTTACTGAAGACGCCGAGGACACCATGAAGAATCTCAGAAAAACATTTGCCGGCATTTTCGGGGACATGTAAACTGTATCAAAATCCAAGGAAAATAATCATTGTTTAGTTTGAGGTCCGGACTACTAATTTTTAACAGACATTAATTTCAATAAAATTATATTCTTTTCTCTTCAATGATATTAAATTTAAGTTTTCAACATCTTGTGTATTTATAGTGAAAAGAAACACGTTTGGAAGTTTAGAATACTTAATTTTATTTCAATATTTTTAAAGTCCGGTCCTGTTTCGTTCCAAAGTACACAATACTGCAATAATATACGTCCGTTGTCGTACATTTTACAGTATTCTCGGCACAATAATCGTTCATTGTGTTTAATTCAAAGTGTCATAATTACGATAGAATCCAACCGAGTACCAAATTGAATACTTATTGCCTCAAAGATTACCCTAAGATATAACATCTAAATGATAAGTTTTTTTTTAAACTATAACAATACCGTTGAGACAACAAGAAATAATAATAGTTTTAATGTAATGTAACAGTAGATTTTTACAGTAAGTTTGTAATAAAAATTAATCAACTGAGCTGCATTGTGATCGACCTGTTCGGTACTCGGTGCCCTGCCGTGCCGTGCCGTACCGTGACGTGCGGTATCGTGCCGTGTCGTGCCGCACCGCGACGAGCACCTAGTTTCTCTATCACTGTCTCCAACTCTTGGACACGTTTCTTCAGCCGCCGTGACTTTGTAGAGTAACGGCGGCAACGCTAGCACAATCTGTACCTTCATTGTTATGAAACATATTGTACGTTAGAATCGTATAAATTAAAGTCTATATATTTATTAATGCTGATTGTATTCCAGGTAAATCTTACCTCAGTATATTGTTAATCATTAAAATAGTATTCGCGTGATTTATCGTTCATTTTTTTTTTCGTTAAAAAATTAAAAAAATCCTATTATGTTGAAATTATTGCTTAATTTAGTACACGTTAAAAACATATGTATAATCATATCATAATATAATTTTAATGTATACAGATTAGGCCGAAATTGAGACATCTTAGTAAAAGGATAATATCTGGAACTGAAAATGAAAAATGGTGAACATCAAGTTGGGCCTACTTTAAAATAGTTTAATTTTCATGATTTTAATGAGTTAATGCATAATATCACAACTCAAAAGGTAATTTTAAGGTTATTTACTATTTAAAAAACCAAAGAGTGTAGATCTCATGAAAGAACACATCGGTAGGTAAATGGAAATGGCGTGAGCAATTTTATAATGGACAATATTGTTAGAAGCAAGAATAATCCACATTTTATATAATCTTATAGTTAATCTCGTAATATTAAGAACTATTTAGATTGTTATTATCATGGTATCATTTTAATATCTTTTTTTTTTACTTTGTATCTGCGTAATAAACTGCTACAACACAATATGTAACACTTTCAATATCGTAAATATGACAAATTTTCGACTAGTTGAATTAAAACCAACTTTATGTCATATAAATAGAGTTGGTTTTATTTAATTCCGTTAGCAAAAAAAATTACATCCATTAATTTATGAATTTAATTTCAAACAAAAGGTATGAAATTTAAAGCAATAAAATTTTTCTTTCTCATGGATAAGAGAATAGTTTTATAAAACATTTATGCAGATACATTTGTAAAATTTATTTTGAATCATTGAATGCATTATGCTTAAAGAATTTGCGAAGTAGTTGTTCGATTGAGGCGTTGTTAACTATTTATTCTTCATGCGCTTCTCTTCGAGTTATAAAATTTAATCTCTCATACATCCTACTATACATTAATATGATAATATCGTAGTTTTATCGAGTATTTCATATTGTATTTTATAAGTATAACAAAATATAGATTGAGAATGTTTTCTTGTTAAACATATTTTATTTCCGATGAGTAATAAAGTTCGATTTCTATAACAAATGTTATTGTAGATTTTACAACGAAATATATGTGTGTTAATAGATCAATAAAAAAACATAGAATAATAAAGTTGATTCTATAACTTAGTTTAAATATTACCTAATATTACTGCAGTATTTTATTGGATTAAGTTTTTATATTTATATTATGTACCCATACGACTGAATCCAATAATCAATCAATTATATGCAAACTCAGAAAATTTTTATAACTTTATATGGGAAGTCACCCAGTCACCACTAGCTTAGGATAGGCTCCGAGACACACAATGGGGACATATAGTGAGCTGATGATGATATGGGAAGAATGACAAAACACATCGCCTTCTAAACGATAGATCAGGTTTTTCTATTACCATTAATATCTGTTAAGAATAAAATCTGAAAGATTATTGGGTTCGGAAGTTATTCCATATGTACCGGAATTAGTCATTAGATGTAAATGCACTATTAGCTAGTTTTCAACACAAACCCGTAGTTTTGATGATAAGGAAATCGTTACGAGAAGTCGTTTACCATACAAGTTATGTAAATATGAGTTTGAATTATGTTTAGTGTTATTTACTTTCTGTCAAATATATACTTATTTTTTTTAGTATTATGTGTTGATTAAATGTTAGGATAATTATACACGTAAACATTAAATATAAACGCTGTTGTTGTTGTTGCTACGAGTTATACAAATTATATAATCATAGATAATAATGCCGATTGAATCGCGATTAATTCAATACATTGATTGCTAGTTGTAGGTTTTCATTGCTAAAACACTGTCATTGCAATTGAAAAAATAAAAAATGTTTTATACAGCATTTAGTCAATGAAAACTTACCGTTATATAGAATACCTATCGCGATCAATCTTTTGAACTCATAATCAAATAGTGTGTCATGTTTGAAAATAAAAAAGGATAAATATTCTTATAAACATATAATGATTTATATCAGTTTGTACTCTAGTTTTAATGCATCATATATGTTTAATATACTTTTTTAGTAGATGAGATTTTAATATACTTATTTTTGGTCATGTAAGAAGGAGGCCGCCAGACTACGTCGGTTATTTAGCACTACAACTTTCCCTCCCTGGTCGCAGATCCAGAGGCAGACCCGAAACGAGATGGAAAGATGTAGTAATAAAAGACATGAGTGAGTGCCAAGTCTCAGAAGATGCCATGGACAGAGCGAAGTGGAAGAGACGGATTGGGAAAGCTGACCCCACCACCTTGTGGGATGCAAGCTAGGGAGAGAGAGAGAGAGTAGAAGAGATTTAATTAAATTTTATTCATAAATATTACAAACAATTCCATCTTACTATTTAATTGTCTTTGTTTTGATGTTATTAGTTAAATTGTATTTATAAACGTGGCACACTTGTTCGTTCGAATGTACTGTTTTAATGGAATTTGAATGCATGTTAATCTATATAATAAATACCTCTTTTGGTAAGTCAATAATAACACTGGATTTTTATTTTTACACTAAATAAAAACTTGGAAATGGTGCTGGCATAAAATAAATTGCAAAAAAAGAATAATAACATTATAACAAGTAACTTTATTCAAACGGAAGTATAATTTTCTATTAAATTAAAAATATATCTTAATTAAATATCAAATTTTATACATACATAAGTATTTTAAATCCATAATTTAAAGTTTAGTTAGAAATAACATTATTAAAAATCGAAAGTATTAATAATCCTCAAGTTACTTTATCCAAACATTAGTATAATATTCTAAAATTTAGTTAAAAATTAAAGTAATATTAAAACGAATGTCAATAATGTCAAAAAGTTTAACAGTATTACAAATATTTGTCGTAATTTTACGGGTACCCTACAGGATCCATTCCAGTGTTGAGGCTGTAGTTGCGATACATACCGGCGGCCGAAAGATGGTTCGTAAACTTCTGACCGGCGGGGTGGAACACCGAAGTTACTGAGTGCACTCCTGCAACAATCATTACTAGTCAGTACCAGTCAGTACTGGTCAATACCAGTCGAGACCCAGTTTCATAATTTTACAAGAAATAAAAGAAAGGTTCCGAGATATACTAAAGTAAACAATTGGGAATTCATCGAGAAAATTGTAAGTATTCATTTTAAACTACTACTAGTAAGAAACTTAGTAAGTACGAGTACTATTGACGATTATATCACAGCCTCCTTCATCAATTTTCACCAAAAGAATTGATATATAATTTCCATAAAATAAAACGCATCGATCCGGTTTTTAACTTTATTTATTTCATAATTTATTACTAATACTAATTCTGCAAGAAATAACAAACGTTTTATGGAAATAACTTTGACGTGACTTAAACCGTTACTACCTTTACTTCCGTAGCTCGGCCAAAGCGTGCTTGTTACAATGCGACAAAAAAATAACGTAAAATTAAAATACAATCTTATATAGAATATAACTTATAATAAAATATTCTTAAAACGATCCAATTAAATGTTTAAATAACTGAAATTCTTAGCAAAGCTTCATTCACATGTTCAAAGAATAGTTTCGGTACATTCCTGACACAGCCATAATGTTGGAAAAGTCCTGAGTCTTCGGGAAGTAAGATGCAGGCACGGAATGAATACCTAAAAAAAGTAGCAGTCTTGGTTTTTGGTAATTCAGGTTTCTGGTTTTTATCATTATCAATCACTTTATATAAACACATGAAAACTTTAATAATAAACCAACATCGTTTTTTGCCACGAAAATATTCTCAAGAAATTGTTAAATGAAAATTAAAAATATTTAAGGTTATCTTGCCGATTCACTAAATCAAGAGCTTCTTGAACGATTTTTTTTTATTAAATTATTTGTCGCAATAAAAACTTTACGCGAAAGAATTAAATTTGCATATTGAAATACTTACCAGGTGGATACCATCCGTACTCGCTGGACGTAGTACGATACAATGGATGTTGGTTGCTCTTCTGACATCCGTAGCCATTGAACCAATCTGTTGACAAAGATATTAAAATTTTACCTCCTTAGACGCAAAAATTTACTCATATATATCTCTACCTTAATAACTTAAAGTTAGTCTTATTCATATTGTATGAAGATAAATGCCGCAATTTGTGATGAGAACACATATAGGATGTCATGGAAGTGTTACATTGGTACAGAGTACAAAAAAAGGTTTGTAGAAATTAGTATAAGAGTACTTATAATTTAGGCATAACATAATCGAAGGCTATACGACCACTGAGACATTTTTACTGAAAATGACGTTAAGAATGTAAATTTTTAACCTGTCCTTACCCTTCAGCGGAGTTTATAATTTTATTAAATACGGGTGATGTGTCGTTGACTCTTGCCTTACTTACCATTACATGCGGGTAAAATGTATTGATTAGCATGCATCACAAGTTAATCACACTTTACATAACACAATTCACATCTTTTCCTATTGATTAGATTCCTTACATAATTATTATATCTACTTGATTACGATATCTTATATATAAAATTCACGTGTCACAATTTTCGTTCACATACTCCTCCGAAACGGCTTGACCGATTCTCATGAAATTTTATGAGCATATTGAGTAGGTCTGAGAATCGGCCAACAATTATTTTTAATCCCGCGCGGACGGAGTCGCGGGCGACAGCTAGTTTAGATATAAATGGTGTTTTGAAATCTTGGGTGTGTTCGTTTTCTTCGATTTAAGATCTACATATTTGTACTTACGAGGGTGTTCAAATCTCTTCGGTAGATTACAGGTTGCGTACAAATCAGATGTTTTTATTTCAGGTTTATTGATTTCGTTTTGTAAGCAAACTTTGTCGATACAAGTCGCTGAACAATAACCCCCTTCCGGTTTATCAGCTATTGCCAATTGACCACCACTCATTATTAGAAAGAATAAATGATTGTTATGTTAAAGATATAAAGACTTGTGGTTTAAATAAAAGAATTCTCCAGGGCACTCGTTGACACAAAAATGTCCGACAAATAATGTCTGTTTCCTTGACAACAGTCTCCATAGATTTTTTTTTACCATTGACTTGGCATGGATAGTTAAAACTTAATACTTTCCAAACACAAATAAATAAAAATAAAATTATCTAATAGACTTAACGAAGACAACGAAATTTTAATAAGTGCATATATCAACAGGTAACGTTAAAAAATGTTCTATGCACAACAACGAAATTATTTAGGTTAACGGAAATAGAAATAAATGCTCTAGCATTATTAACCATAATTCTGTTTAAAACGAGTTACAATATCGGAAGCATGGTATGTACTTTGTCAACACTTAAGCTTTAAGGAACAACGCACATTAAACACATTATTTCACAAAACAAATATTTCAAATTCGGATTCAGAAAATACTTAATACTTTTGAATTACAGTCCACAATCTGTGATTACTTTTTCTAATCTATTTTAATACCACTGTAAATAACATAACAATCTTGTAATTTAAATTGGTTTCAAGAAAGATATCGTACTTTGTAAAGTACTTTTAAAGAAGTTGAGGCTACATACCTCATTAATATCTTACCTCAAGACCAGTTAAAGATGTAATTTCTTTCTCCCTTATTATATTAAAAAATGCTTTACTTAAAAATTCTTTGCCGCCGTGAGATTTGTTTAAAACATTATATCCACTGTTGTTTAAGAGAATGAAAGGGATGACAATATTTAATGCAATTGTCACTGTAGTTTGTTTATTTGCGCGTTGACCTTTATCTCATTGAGCATGCATTCGCTTGAATATATTAAAGCGTTATCAGAGCTATCAGGACGAACGACAAGCACAGAATAAACGTGTGGGTGACTATCGCACGCCTTCCTCAACCAACATTACAACAGTTTTTAATTATATTTAACTCCGACTTTACGTATTTCATCAACAATTCATATATTTTAATTAAAAATAAACTATGTCACTTTACTGACATAAACTACGACATTTCTATGACGTGATTATTTTTTTATAACTGTCAAAAATACTACTTTAAATTATAAACAATAATGAAAACAATTATTATAAATGAACCGATAAACTTAAGAGTGGTGAAATACGAGTTAAATTTTGATTTGTTGAATGCACCGGATACAAATAGGAAATCGAAAGTGAAGAAACCAAAGGAAATTCTTATTCCGAAAATTGAACAGAAAAAGCAACACAAGATACCAGCACCTCCTCCAATAAAAAGTACACATCAGGTATTTTACTTTTTTAATTTATATGCTTAACTAGCTGTCGCACGCGACTCCGTCCGCGTGCTATTATTAATAAAAATATTAGTAGCTTATGTGTTCTTCCACGCTATGTTCTACATCTATGCTAAATTTCAGCGAGATCCATACAGCCGTTTTCGAGATACTTTCAAACAAACATTTCATCATCTATCCAAACATTCGCATTTATAATATTAAGTAAGATTAATGAGATATATACTTACATTTCAATTATAATTAAAATTAACTAACTTAAGTAAACTTTGTATAAATTCAAGTTTTAACTTAAGTAATACAACTAATTTATTCATAGATAAGTACAAGAATTCGTTAAGAAAACCTTGACAGTGTTTTCGTAACTACCCACATAATCTAGTGGCCATGTTTACACGTGGGAGCCATTGGCAATTTACTTTGTGGGCTAGTTTTATTCTATTGTAGCTACGTTATATTGGTTTACTTTATTATGTAATGATATAAAGACCTACAGGACATGATTGCTCAATCTGTTACCATAAAGATTCATAATTTTCGTTTCAAACATTTTCACACTTCCAACAAAAAAAAATAATTTCGTCTACGTACTTTTATGTTGTCAAATATCTAATAAGGTTAGGGCCGTACGAAGTGTGAAATTAAAATCTATACTTTCAGACTTATTTAAATACGTTTATATAATCTAAATAATGATTTTCTTTTAAAAATTATAGAAACCAGACGTTAAAGAGCTTGTTGAAAAATTACTTGACGAACTATATACAGATCAACGTGAATGGAGTAGAAATAGCGTCGTAGGATACAGTCAAAGGTATGTAAGATGGTGGTTAAGATCATAATGAACAGCCAAATGTGGTATATAACCACGGCTAAACACTCACGTATATTTGTCCGGTGGCGGCACCGACTAGTTTCGAGCCCATCGGGGGCCCTTCATCAGGATGAGTGGTACTGGTATTATTTCGCGGACACGGCCCGTCGCTCACTGCGCGCTTGCGCTCTTAGGGCGCGTCTTGAGGGGCGGGGGGCGCGGGTTGCGCCGGCGTCGTCGGCGATGTTGATACCAAAGCGTCGGTGGTGTTGTTATTCAAGTTTAAGTTTAGTATAATGTCTCACGAAAGTTTGAATAATTTAATAGCCAAATGTGGATTATGAATGGAACAATTTCACCTATCACCTATTTACTACCAAATACAAACATCTTATTATTTATGAAATACAGACATGTTTTTGAACAATAGAAACGGTTAATTGGAAACACGCATAATTTTCCCGCTAAGAGTGCAACGCCACTCATAAACAAATACAGCTCTACTTGCGATTCCGTAATGAGGTAACCTTAACCCAATTAACGATGAATCTTCCAAGTTTACGTTCAATGTCAGTGTATCGTGAATTATTTTGCATTGTATTTTATTTAGAAATAGCTGTAGCGTAAAAAAAACTTAATTTGTAGCCTAAGTATTCTTCTAGATAATGTTCTACATCCATGTCAAATTTCATCGAGAACCGTTGTGCTGATCTGAAGATATCTTTTAACATCTATACATTTCCATATATGATATTAGTAAGATTTATAACTAAGTATAATAATTAAATTTCTTTCAGCTTGACTACCGCAGCATCAATAGCATCATCTCATTCTAATTGTGACGATCAAACAGATGTTATTGAACGTATTTATCTTGAAGATTTAGGTAATTTAATCATATTACTTATCAAAATTGATACTGCCACTTCATAGTGCTTACGTACAGATACTTTGCTCCTTATGTACAGGTCTTCCTAGTTAAGAAGCCAAGGCAACATTGAATTTTAAATTTTTTGTGTATAACAACAAAGATTTTTCATTATCATTTTTAAAGTAAATACACGCAACAGTCAAATATACAAAACGTAATATGTATAAGTTGTATGTAAATAATTGTTTTTGTATACGAAAAGGGGGTCAATAAGCGGCAGGACCACAGTATAGAAACTACAGATGCTCTGGCAGTGTTGCCTATTAATTCACGTTATCTTAAATACTCTGAATCTTTAAGCCAATAATCGCAGCTACCAAATATGGGTCAACTAATAAAGCTAAAAGAGCTACAACATCCCTTGAAAGACTGAATTAACATTGTTTTGTTTTTATTGATAGGGAAAGAAGAGCTGCAAGATCAATTAGATGAATTGATGAGAAGATTCTCAGCAGCCGGAGAGAGGCTTGCTAAATGTCTACGGGCACGGGACCGTCTAAAACGGGAACAGAAGAAATTATGTGCAGCGTTTACTGTTTTACTGAGGCATATTAGTATGTTATACTTCTTTTATCAGTGGTTTCTTAACTGCCAGTGTTTTTAATTTTAGATCGATTGTTATATATATAACTTAACTTTTTAAATATCTCAGTTATAGTACAATAGTTAGTCATCGTTAATAATATTCTTTAGTGCCACATGGGCACTGAAACATCACACAGCTACCGTTGGTTTCTCAGATCAAAATGTCTGCATAAAACATATCGTCATCCCTATCATTATTTTTGACAAAACAGAGATAAAAATAAGTTAAAAAGGATTTTGGTTTCAGAAACCCACGATTCATCTATCGTATTGGCGACTTGTGGTATTTTATTTTACACGTAAAGAATTAAATTAACTAAAAATTTAACTATTTTGATCGTAGCAATAATTGCTTATGTCTTTTTTGCTACTACATTCCAGTTTTTGAAATTAAAAAGTAGAGTATACAGTAAATAAAATCTAACTAAAAACTATCTTATCAAGGACAGAAATAGACTCGAGCAATTCTATTCAATGAAGCTTAAAATAACATTACGCACATGTAAGTAAGCTTGGGGCTACTTAGCGAGCTATCTATGTCTGAAACTGACGTACACAGGAGCACGAAATCGATATGCGACACACACTAGCGCCTATAATGAAACCGATGGCGCATGCTCGGAGGGCCCTACCATGACACCTTTTATCGGCGCTCCACTTCACTCTGGCATCGCTGCTGTCCTACCATCGATTCCGTTTAAAACATCCGTGCGATATTATAGTACAGGGTGGCCAGCCCCGGCGCTTCCTTTCGCGACTTCCCCAGTAAACATCGCATCAGCTGGTCGAATATGCGGTGTCGAACTTTCTGAAGATATGTACAAAATATATTTAAATTCACGATTTTTTTCTAATGATTTTGTTATATATTTATCGACTTATTCACTTATTTCCTTGGTGAAAGACCGTCATAGTCATTACATTGTGTGTTTACCCGCAGTGTGACTGCGTCGAAGTAATGTCAAATCATTAACTAGTGCTTAGTGCAGTAATATGCATTTATTGTCAAATGTTGTGCTCCCCGCGCTGGACAGATGAGTGCTATCCTAAATTCCCTCAGGAACTTGGCCGGTTCGTCGCGGCCCAATTCAGGTACAGATATTTAGACGCTAAACACAAAAATTATAGACGGTTACTCATTTCTTTGTGGTTTGCTTACATTCTTATCCTTTGAGTTTATGATTAGCGGCCATGCCAGAGTAATTTAATTCCAATGTTTGATTTAAATACATCTGATTTTGATTTACGGTAAGTAAATTGGATTAAGAAACCCTTGCGGTGATAAATTTAATATAAAAGTAGATCTTGTTTACACGTACGAATGTTGCCTAACAACAATAACCTTTTGTTTGATGTATTTGCATTTATCCGGGATTTTATGTACGCGAACGTTTTTTACGATACAACTTAGGCCTTGGCAATTTTCTATT